AACCAGAGTTTTCCAATACAGACAGTTTTGCTATCCAGCTTACTCTGGGGATCCCATTTCTGCCTTTTAAGACTGGAATCATGGATGGCCTGCCATGCCCACTCAGCATTTTTATGAGTTCTGGAGATCTGAATTCTGGTCCTCATGCTTGCCTGGCAAATGCTTTAACTACTGAGCCTTCTCATGCCCTCTAGTCTTTGTGACAATTGACTCTGACCTCCTTGGTAGAAAAACAATAGTTGTTTTTTGTTTGTTTTAATCTATGGAGAAAGGGTATAATACTCTAAACCTCCTTTACCCCAGCAAGGGTAATAAATCAAAATCAGTGTGGCCTTGAGCAACATACCTAGGTGTCTCATGGGGAACATCTGCTTCTGGCCATGATGGTGAAAGAGGAACTCAATTTACCCTTCCATCTTAAGCAAAAACCCAGTAAACCTATATAAAACAATGGCATCTAGACATTGGAAGTTCATAGGATGGGGTCTCTGAGAGGACACAAAAAAGACAAATCTTATGTCGGGATGGTGGCAGGATTTGAAGGTGTAGATCACAGAAGTTAAGTCTATTCTGTGTACTCGTTAGTTTTTGTCAACCTGACACAAACTAGTCACCTGGGAAGAGGAGCCTTAATTGAGGAATTTCCTTCATTGGATTGGCCTGTGGCCATGTCTGGCATTTTCTTAATTGCTAATTAATCTAAGAGGAATAGCTAAGCAGACCAGGGGAAGCAAACCAATAAGCAGTGTTCCTCCATGGTTTCTGCCTTGAGCTACTCTGGCTTCCCTCAATAAACCTGTAAGGTGAAATAAAACCTTTCCTCCCCAAGTTACTTTTTGTCGTGGTATTTATCACAGCAACAGCAAAGCAAACTAGAACACATGGTAATATCCAATCTTTGTAGGACTTCAAGCAAGGGAGCCCTATGAATAGTGTGTGTGTGTGTGTGTGTGTGTGTGTGTGTGTGTGTGTATGTGTGTGTGTGTGTTCTAGGGATCAAACCCAAGGTTTTTTACACGCACTCTACAAACTTATACATCTCTAGCCCTTGACTTTAAGACATGGTCTCACTACGTAGCCCAGGCTAGCTTTGAACTCAGGACCCTTCTGTGTCTGCTTCCTGAGTGCAGGAATTACAGGCATGTGCTATCACATCCAGCTGGAATTTATTTTTAAAGCGGATTTTTCTATGATCAATTGAGGATGGGTGAAGATGCTTAACAGAGGCAGGGAAACCAGGTGACAATAGTCTGATCAAAAGAGCATGATTAATAGGCTAGAGGTATATAGCTCAATGGTTGACTGTCTGACATGAATGAGACCTTAGAGGGGGACAGAGGGGAGGGGAGAGGGGAGAGGAAAGAAAAGAAGAGGGCAGAGCAGAGAGGAGAGGAGGGGAGAGGAATTGGGTATATTGTTTTAAATTCCTCTAAATTAAGAATTTGAGCAGATAGTTGCTGTACTAATCTCATGAAGCATATCAGGAGGTATATAATTACATATATGATAATAAAACCTCATCTAATACATTTATATGTCTAAGAAACAAGCCCCCTCACACACCACTCCTCTTCTTCAAAGCATTTGTTTTCCAGTATACTGTGAAACAAACCCAGCAGGCCCTGAACACCCTTGTCATCACCTTTCCTGCCCTTGCCCTACTGTTTTTCCAGAAACTTCTTATTTTAGCTACATGGTCACCTCTAAAAAGCATGTCTGTGCTTCTGCTCACGTTTTCCCTCCGTGCAGTTGTCTTTCCCTGCCAACCCACCCCGCTTGATCAAATTGGCACCAAATCCAATCTCTCCCACTGACCTGCTCAGAACCATTGGTGGCATCGTCTCTTGAGAGCTATGTCCCTTAACTGCAAAGTGAGTAAAGAATGACTTTCCCAATGAGTTAGGAGGTGGAGAGCCCAGGGCTGGTGCAGTGACTCTAGAGGCTGCCAACGGATCAGGCTTCTCCTCCTCCATGACCCATAACACACAGCTTCCATCCTTGGTGGTGCCTCAAAGCTTGTGAGATTATCGTTCCTCCCCTAGCCTCCCATCCACTCAACAAGAGAAGCCACCAGGGAGGGTGCCAGGGTGTGGCATCTATAGAAGGTTCCTGGACATGTCCAGACTACTGCTTATGTGTCATTGGCTAGCACTGTGTACCTGGCCTTGGTGAGGGGAAGTTGTGGAATGAGGTGTTTTGGTTAGTACATTGCCAGCCTGAACAATTCAAGATGCTCCAAGGTGACTTATACCAGGTGGTATTCCAGAAGAGGCCAGCAGAGCCCAGACTTGTCCTGCCTCATGTCTGCTCCGATGCTGACCTAAGTTTGTAGCGCAGTCTTTTTCATTAGATTTGAAGACCCATAGTGATATCTTAGGTAAGATTTCTTGTGCTCATCCCAACAAATAGCTACAGATCACTCTACTCCTTATTCTGGAAATAAATGTTGGCCTGAGTGGAAGTTAGAGCACCTCATTGCAAGAAAATGTTACAGAAACTAGCTTAGGGAAAATGGACCTCAAGAATCTGTTCCATTTTATTCCAAAAGTTTCATCCCCCCCCCCATATCCTATCAGTCATTAAGTTATTCTGTTGTGTTCATTTCATTATGGAACCTCGCCAGTATAAACATTTATTCACATGTAGGCTAAAAACTGCATTTGTACACAGTATCTAGTATGTCACCTGATTCCCAGGATACCAGCTACTGTGGGTGGAGAAGAGGATGGAGACACAGAAGTGCCCCCTTTTCTTTTGTTGCCATTGTGAGCCCCCAGATGAACAGTCATGAAATGGTCCAATATTTCCACATCACCTACATGCATTCTTCAGTATACTTTAAACAGTTTCTGAATATCTAACTCAATGTAATTCGATATGAGTGGTTGTGCTATATTAGAGAATGACACAAGTCTACATGTAGAGGCTTTTTTTTTTTTTTGGTGGAGTTGTATATTAAACCTTGCTCATATGAACACACAGCAATAGTGTCAGCGTGCACAAGACCCATGCAAACTCAAGCAGACAAAAACCCAGCATAAGACTGAGGAAATGGGCAACAGGACCCAGTCTTAGCCAAAGAACTACCAAAAGCTGATTAATGCTGGGTGAGGGAGAGTTGATCTTCTTTAAGGGGGTGACCCTAGATAAGCTGACTAGACTCCAGTGAATGAACATGCATTGAGGGATGTCTGGTTACACTAACTTGACTTGATAGGTCTTAACATAAATGACAGAATGCATGCTATGGGGGGGGGCTATGGGAGGGTGTGGATGGAGGAAGGGATATAAAGATGAATAAGATGTTTTGTATGAAATACACAAAAATTCATTTAAAAACACACACACACACACACACACACACACACACACACACAAACCTAGAGACTCACACATATAAGGCTATTGCTCAACCACTGAATTACATCCTCAGTTCTTTTTTAGATATTTTGATCTACAGGTAGTTAACTCCATGGAGGCAGAACTTCTGGATATGGAGGGCAAAGTATACATTCTTATCCACACAAAAGGTGACAGATTTCAATTAAGATTCCTCAGCAACTGGAGGAGCCAACCAAAGTTGAGACTCTCTCCCACTGATACACCAAAGACTTATTTCTCTCCTCAGTCTTAGAAAAATAAAGTAGAAATTTAGTCTTGGCGTTTCTATGGCTATCTGGTATGGGAAGAGCCACCCAGTGTACGCTCATGGAGCTTTGAGTATGATCTAGCCCACTAACAGAAGTGGCCATCTCCCAGGAAAAAGCATCAAAATTGAAGACAATGCTTCTAAAATGAGTCTAGATTCTTCATTCCCTGTATATCATCCACGGCTTTGAAAGTTCTGTCCCTCCACATGCCACACCAACTGAACCCATTATTCATACTTCACTGAAAATAGTCCCATTTAGACATTATCTGAAGCTGTTTTCCTTGTGTCCTTCACAGCCCCCACCCACTGTCTGTGATGTTCTGTCTCTTCTCTGTTGGGTCCCCCTCAACCAACCCCCAGCCCCCATAGGTACCTTCTGGTCTTCACTCTGTTCATCTTGTATCTAGCAAAGGACTCAGCAATTCCATATAAGTAGACCAATCTGGTTGTTCAGAAACTTTGCGTACATGAAAGTAAAAATAATACTGTCTACTGTCTAGGGGAACATAAAGACTGAAAGGCAGTGGGGAGAACAGGGCAAGTAGAGGGATAAGAAAGAAAATGTTTGACATACAATATATAGTTTTACAGAAACATTAAAAAATTTAAATGCACATATAAACAAAAAGTTTCAGATATTGATTTTACAAGTGTTTTATTCAAAACAAATTAAAAACCTAATAAATAGCTTTAAAAATGGGCATTTTAATCATTTTATAATTAGTTCTGATGCTGCTTATCTTAATGTCAAATATTTATATAGTAAGTTTAAGATTTCTGACATTCACATACATTCTAATCTTTTTCAGTTATTCAAATGCCAACATGAGTTTTCTAAAATTTACAAGAAATGATCTGTGTGCTCCACGTAGTAGAAAATTGCCCCGAAGGATTAAAAGCCCCCTCGAGCCTGTGGCCACATGTCAAGTCTTGATTTCTGGTTTGAGAAGAGCTTTGTTTTTCATAGAAAAGAAAAGGAATCCTAATTCTTTCCTCAAAGACATATCCAAAGTGGGCATCAAAAGTTTTTCTTAGGAAGCCTTATGACAATTTGGTTTGTATGGTTTCATGTTCAGAAATTCTCAGACCATTGTCAATGGCAATCCACACATAGATTTAGAATCTCAGTATTTCTGTGGGTCTGTTGAGTGGAAAAAAGGGAGACTGTGATTTATTCTAATTACATAAAACTTGGAAGGGGGGGTAAGGATTCTAAGAATATTATGTGAAAATGAACACTTCACATACTTTTATCCCATGTCTAAAAAGTGTTGGAATTCTGATTGGAGGAGACTGGAAGGTGATCAGCAACTCAATTCATGAACAAATATAAAAACACACCAAATGATGCAAAAAAAATCTTTTTAATCTAATAAAACTTATTTCCCAGGGCTAATTAATAGCCACGCCCTACCAATTTTTATCAGTTTATTTCACTAACAAGAGCTAGTCAGCATTTTCTTCAAAGTGAGATAATACATAATAGATTTTGGTAAACTTTCTAAATGAGAATGTGATGCTGCAGGCAGTTCAAGGGAAAAAAAATAGCTGTATTGTTTTTCTCTTTGGTGTAACCAAAAGGATATCCAAAAGTTAGCAAATGTTGACACTTCAAGTGATAAATTGTCAAGTGGAAGTTGAAATTGCTTGTTTAAAAAAACAAACAAAACTCTTGTTAAAGGAAAAGCCCCACCCACAGTTCTACAGTGCAAGTTTTCCAAGTTAATTCTGAAAATATTTTATTTAATAAGCAGGAAACAAATCCAGCAGTGTGCCACTCATTCCCCTGCCCTTCTTTCCTTTCTTGCCCTTACCTCTACAGTCACCTCAGTCCTCAAAAGGGTTGGCTGCAGCTCAAGGAGGAAACTGATGTCAAACTGCCCACACTTCTAACCTGGGACTGAAATCTGCACCTCGCAGGCCCTGGATGCAGCCACTTCTGCATTTATTATTTTTACAAAAAAAGGAAGCAAAGCTTTTTCCCCTAGAAAAAGTACCTGAACCGATTAGTTGCCTAGCCCTTCCCGGCCTCCTCTTTTCTCCACCATGCCTTCTGCAACAGTGCATGTGTGTGCACATCCATGTTGTATGTTAGAACCAGCCCACCACGGCCTCTTAGAAGTCATGGTTTCTCCCTTCTTAGTGGACTCTCATTTTCATACCCATAATGCTTTGACAGCAGTTGCCACCTAGTCCAGAAAACTCCATTACTCTACCTACCTTAGCTCTGACTTTTTCTCCTATTTCTGTATATGTTAGCGTGTGTATTTGTTAAAATGAAAAAGTGTTTGAAATGCACACACATACACATACTCAGCATTTGGGGGGGGGGGGATCTTCCCCAGGAAGCACTTTCATAAGTTTAAGCTTCTACTTGCTTTTAAGTCACATGGCTAGTGAGTCCTAAGTGACCAGCAGGGCTGAGACAGCCCTCCCCCCAGCACCAATGCTGAGTAGGGTCCCCTCAAGCCAGGAAGAGCCCCATAGGCTTCCCACGGCAGTGCCAGTGCACTGCTTGCCCCTGCCTCCATCAAAAAAAGCAGGTTTTCACCCTAACTCTTCTCTTGCCCACACTGCTCAGAGGGACTCCTGGCCTCTGCCCTGCCTGTTCTATCCACAGAGGCCGACTCCTCCACTGATGGCAGGCAGCCCTGGTCCACCTCCTGCCCTGCCAGGCTGTCCAGGGAGCATCCCTTCACAGCGTCCAGTGCCCGGCTCGCTCTGTTGTCCACCGGCTCTGCAGGCTCGCCCTCTCCCTCGGAGATGACCGTCATTGGGCTGCTCTGGATGCGGTTCCGCATGCTGTACCTGCTGCTGGCCGCGGAGGGTGGTGTCCGGCTGCGACTGTACCTCGGGCCCGAAAAGGACAGACTCCGCGGCATCAGGCCTTCATTCTTGGCCCACTCCTCCTGGGCCCTTCTGTTCTTGCTGGGGGAGCAGCTGGATGGGCTGTCTGGGGTGTCTGGCGAAGGCTCCGACCTGGATCTCTGAAATCGAGGGTCCGTGGACTTGAGCATTTCCGCGGCCGACATGCGGGCGCTGGTGTCGGAGCGACTCCCCTTCTTTAATAGCAGAGCTTTGAAGTTGTCGCTGCTGGTGCTGCTCTTTCTCATGCTTCTCTGGATGGACCCGACTTGTTTTGGAGAGGCCAGGCTAGGGGCCGTACCCGTGGGTGTCACTGGCGGGGAAGGAGAGTGATTTCGGGAGTGATCATCTTCGGAGTCTTTCCGGCCAAGGACTTTCCTTTTGGATCTGAAATTAAGCAAAATTGAGCTAAAGGTCAATCCTCAGCAATTTTTGCTGCAATCACCCCAATTGCTCTTACTTAAGCCCATCTTCCTGTCACCATTTACTGAAGAGTATATATATACTTAAGCAAGCTTTTGCTACAGAGCTTGGGTTACCTTAAACTCAGGCATCCTCCTGCCTCAAAAGCCCAAATGCTGGGATCACAGGTGTGGCATTGCTGTGCCCAACAAGACTTACTCCTATGAAAAACTTCAAAAAGCCTTTCAAAGAAAGAATGATGCTTTGTATTACCATGTGAGCCCACAACTACTGTGACAGTCACCACTGTCACTCTCCATCCTCAGTGGACCAGTTTGAAACATTAACTCATTTGGGGGTGGGTGGACCATTTCACAAGTTTTCTGTCACTGTTGCTCTCCACTTAACTCTCCTTGATTGGGCTGATCATGAGAGTGACACGGAGTGAACGTCTTTTCTTTCTGCTCTTGGCTTGTCGTGTTTCATGCATGTATTGGACAGGCCTCAGAGATGAGAATGTCCCCTACACTGAGACATGCCCCACTCCAGTTTCTACAACAACCTACAGCTTTGCATTCTCAGTCATTCTAGACTTTAATCCAAAGCTCATCTCCCTTGGTTCTCATGAGGTTCTATGTCAACTTGTGGAAGTCCAGTTTATCACAAGAGTTCTGCTAACAGTGGAGTTCAGAAAACTGTGCTTACTGAGAAAATGTGAGGGATGGGGTTGAGTGTGGAAGGGGAGGGGTTGCTCCTGGGAAAACAAATGTTCTCTCTGGGGATTTCTTGTTCTTGGTCTCTGGACCTCCCTGTATATCCCTGTTTAATATGTTCCACCCTGTTGGCAAGAGAGGGTAATAAGGAAGAGGAGCCACATGCCCCTCCCTGCTCTCTTCTGACCAGCTGTTAAGTGAGTGCATGGCTCTGAGCCCAGTGCAAGTGGGCTGGCCTTACATGAGTCTTGATACAGTTTATATAAAAAGACAGGTCTGTCTTCTATAAAGTTCTAGCCTCTGTAGCCAAGAAATGCTGGGTGTCTGGCATTGGTACAGTAAGATCCCAAGTGCCTCTGAACTCCCCCATTTGCTAGCTGTGTGACTAGGACAAAGTACGCAACTATGGTGCATCTCGGTCTCCATACTTGTCAAAAGGGCACGTCTATGAGAAGGTTTCATAGGCCTAGGTTATAGCTTTCATAGGCCATTGCTAAAGTTCCCTTGTTGTGTGACCTTGGGTAAATTAATTTTTCTGATAATTTCCTATCCGAAAAGTGAAGTTAACGGTGTTTGCCAATAAAGATGAATTCAGTAACAGCCATAATGTGTCAGGTATTGAGGCATGCTTAACAAAGCTCTGAAAGCCATAGGGGGAAATTCTTCCTTCTCATCACCAGGTCAGGCTTTAGTTTTCACATGGTACAGTAAGGCAGAGTGTAGGACAGGTCCACGCTGGCTGCACTGTGCAACATGATTCTCTTGACTTTGTCTCCATGCTTCTGAACAAAAATAAGGTATCAAAGTGTGAGCTAGTGGCAAAGTGGGTAATGATAAGGACCCAAGGCAGGGTCTGACGGGTGGCCACAGTGACAGGGCAGCAGACCTTATGGGATAGTAGAATGTGGTCCATAATACTTCAGTCCAACAGTTCTGCTCAATGGTCAACAAGAATAAGAGTTAATAACTCCAGCAAACCATAGAAATAAGAATATCTCCAAATTGCAGAGCTGGAAAAGAAATGATCTAATCTAGTCATTTTGGGCTTCAAGGAAGAAACTGAAATCTAGAAAATAAATGCACTCATGCACACGCGTGTACACGCACTCACACACACAGAGCTACTGAGCACACACACAACTACTGAGCACAACTGAGTCTTGATGGAGCTTTGTTCCATATAACTGCATGTCTTTAAAACTTACATTGGTTTCCCAAAAAGCAGCTCTGCTAGTCTCAATCTTTCAGGTACTGGCCTGAGGTATAATGTTTTGTTTTGTTTTTAAATGGTAAGGGTATGCTGAGATGTAACAAACCACATATACTATATTCTATCAAACCACACACACTATACTCTATTAAATCCAGGGCGTTTAATTGCAGATATAAAACTTAAAGAGATGACAGGATTTTATAAAAGCCTTGCTGTTTCTGAAGAGGCAGCTGCCCCTTATAAGCTAAATTTCAACTTCTGAATTGTGCATACACGAGTACTTGAACAGTGGCTGGTCTCAATTATTTGTTTTGAAAATGTACAATACTTACCAGACACACACACACACACACACACACACACACACACACACACAATGTACACACACATATTTAAAGACGGTGGCTATAAAAAACACTTAAACAGTTAACACTGGCTTCAAATCTAATTACTTCAATAAATATAAAAACTTCACACCTCAACTGGTGTCTACTCTTTCCATCTGGCTTTACATCTGAAAAGAATTAATTTGCATTATAGAACTTGAAAGCTGTGCTTCAATTTAGATAGTCTTTATTTTAAATTATGAAATTAGGTACTGGAGGACATGAACATAAAGTTCTAAATGTCACAGTCTTCAGAAAAGCTTTGATTTCATCTACTAATATGGTATTAATGCTACAACAGAAATTAGCATACATCTGAGCTCTCTCTTTGCTATCCATTCCTAAGGCTACTTGGCCTTTAATTTTCTCATGTGTACAGAAAATACAAACTGGCTGATTTCTACATCTGCAATAGATGTTACTGTCTCGTGGAAGAAACCACACATTCTTTAGTGCCTTCTGAAGGCTGCCAAAATAAAATATAGAAGAGACCTTTGACATATCTTTAGGAAAAGTATGCAGTAATTTGGCTCCACAACAGTTGGATTTGAGACCAAGTATTTAATATACACAGCAACTAGGCAACACAAATCTCTGCAGCTTGCTATTATAAATACATATTCCTGTATATTTAGCAACTCAGTGCATTCCATAGTAAATGAAAGACTTCGAGTCTCTAAAGAATTTCCTGACAGCTAAGTTCCAATTGGTTTCATTTAATTCAGAAACTATTAAGTGCTTATTATGTGTCTAGCATGGTTACAGTTAGAAACATCTGTGTAAACTATAAATGCCACTTAATTTGGTTCCAAAAGATGCATTATTTCTCATTTCCTTGTTTTTAGAGAGAGTTGAATAGCTAGCTTCCTTTTTATTTATAATGAGATCAAAGAAAATAGTGAGACGACATTAAAGGGGCCAGTCTTTGGGATCTTTTATACCAAGACTACAGCTGAGAGACAAAAGAAAAAAAAAAAACAAAAAAACCCCAAAGCATTAATTCTTGGCAGATAACTCAGACTGCCAGTGTGGCTTTCCCCCAAGTTAGATGTTTCTATGTTGCATAGAGTTCTAGGTAATGCGGCATTGTATTTCCTTCCTCAAGCAAAAATCTTTTCATTTAAATTATGTGTTTGGGGACCGGTGCTGACATAGGTTATTTCTACATTGAATCAAATGATTTTATAGAGTTCCTTGTTTCAGGAGGAAAAAAAGGACCTTCCTTGAGGGCAAAATAAAGTCTGGACAGCATAAAAATGGTCACAAGAATTATCTGAAAATATAACAAGGAAATCTAGAAAGCAGCCGAAGGGTTATGTTACACAGCTGTAGAGTTTAAAGTACTTTGCACATATACTTATTTGCACATGTACTTATTTGTAATAAGTAGAACTGTAGTGCTAAATCATGTTTACTCTTAAACATGACCATCTAAAAAACAGAAACTTACCCTGTACTTTTTTCAAAAACCAGCAGATGGTGCTACGTGTATACAGTAACACAAGAGGTTTTGTTTTTTTTGTTTGTTTTTTGCTTTTGCTTTAAAAGAAATGTACTACTGTTTAAGAAGCCAAAAAAAGAACACTGTAAAATTATGAATTTTCTGAAGAGAGAGAGAGAGAGAGAGAGAGAGAGAGAGAGAGAGAACTAAAGCACGCCAACTTGGGCTACATGAAACCCTGTCTCAGAGAGAGGAGAGAGAGAGAGAGAGAGAGAGAGAGAGATCAACTAAAGCACCCTTTGGAAAGGAGCTCTGTAGAGTTTGTCTGCACTACAAGTCCAAAGAATTGCTCTCACCAAAGGGATCCAATTCTTATAAACACACTGTCCTGTGACTGACACATTAGGGTCTTGCCAGCAAATGCAGTGTCTACCAGAAGGTATCACATTGAACCTCTGTGCCCAGTGTCATCATAGAGATTGGTGGAACAAGGCAAAACAGAAATTGGACTCAAAAGGAAATGAAAGTATAAGAAACACACACACACACACACACACACGCACACACACACAAGAATAAAGTTCATGAGTCATGACTGGGTGACAGAAGAAACCAAGAAAATAGAGGAGCTGTTCAGAAAGAAGGAACTATATATAAAGCAGGTTAAAGTACGATGGTGTTTTGAATACCTGTGGATAGCTGCGAACAGGTCTTCTGTGGTCCTGGGTCTAGTGGGGGTCATTACCTCGTCACTCCCATCTTCCTTAGAGAAGTCACAGGCTTCTGAGGAGCTAGCGGCTGAGTTGGTTTCCAGCACTCCAGCTAGAGAGAAGTCAGCAGGCAACACAAGATGCAGTGATTAGAATTTCAGTCCTTTGCCCAGCTCTGAAATATGCTGCCTGCCTGCCACTGACAGTGTGGGAGCTACAGTGTGGGTCTGCAGTTTGACTTCAGAGTGAGGGGGAAATGACACTAGCCTGACAGCCAGCACTCAGGTTTCCTGGCTACTGACTTTGTAGGGAATTGCTCTTACATTCTGGTAGCTAGAACACTTCTTTGCAGCCCTTCCTAAGGGAGATCACTCCTGCTACTGTGCACCCAGCCTGCTGCAGACCACCCCAACCTCTCTATTTTTTGCTCTTTCTTAGATCTGGAGTTAAAAATTTTTTTCACTAAATGCAGTGTTGGTAGTAAGGTGTAAGAAGCCCACACACTTTGCCCTAAGTCTACTCAGATGCACCTGGTTCCACGTGTGTTCAGCGGCCCTATTTGGTTCAGCTGCAGAAGATCAGAGAAGCACAGCAGAGGCCAGGCTTACCTTCTCCATCCTGCTGTGACAAGCAGCTCTCCACTTTGCCCTCACCATCCACGCTGTTCTCGGTGGACTCTTCCTGCGTGGGGGCTGAAGAGGCATCAGGTTGGACCATGGAAACATTGGCTTCCAGGCTACCAGAGGACAAGGACCCCGGAGCACCTCTCTTCAGAACCGAGTTGCTGGGGACCGTGGCATGAGAACCAGCTAGGCTCTCTTCCTCCTCTTTGCTTTGCACAGAGCATCTCTCTGCCCTGATGGGGCTGGGCACGCCTTGGAGGGCTTCGCTCCCGTTTTCTGTGGGCTCCGCTGTGAAATCTCTCTGTGGAGGTGGCACCACCAGGAACAGTTTGGGCTTCTTGGAGATGGGGGGCGGCTTCCTGCTGGGCGAAGAGTCTGGAAGCGGAGTGGCCCTGAGGTTGGGTCCCGGACCTGGAGCTCCATCACTGCGGCTCAGAAGGCCGCCACGCTCGGCTGCACTGTCATGGTCACCCTGACTCGGGCTTTTGGCAGGCGTTGGAAGCAAGCTCGTCACAGAGGCAGGCTGGCTTTCACTCTCCATTTCATTTATGCTATTTCGGGATTTCAGAAAAGCAGATGGCTTTAAGTGATACTGTGGAGCAGTTGGAGTTCGTTGTTCCTGAGCTGTTGGTTCAGACAACAGGGCAGCCTCGGCGCCTGAGTTCTTTCTCACCGGCCTCAACTGCACCATCTGCAATGCTTCCGTGGTGATCAGGGGCATGGGGGGTCGGCTGCTCTCCTCCTTGTTGGCAGGCCGCCTGAGGGCCTCCCGGGAGGATTCAGGCTGGCCAGAGTTTTTGAAAGAAGGCCTGGTGTCTTTCATAAACTTGGGGTCCAGAGGTGGGGCGGGTGGGGGTTCTGAGGAGGGCAAGAAAAGTGGAGGCGCTGGCAAGGGAGGGGAGGGTCCTGGAGGAGGGGGGCTAAGTGCTGGGGGAGGAGGAGGAGGAAGGCACCTGTCAGTGGGAGAGCAGAAGGGAACAAGGGCTTCTGGTGGTGGAGGGGGGAACCCGGGAGATAGAGGCAGAAGGGAGCCCTCAGAACAATCAGCTGGAGGAGGAGGGGGTGGAAGGAAAGGGGACTTGTCTGCTGGACATGGAGAGGGCAGAGTGGGTAGAGGAGGAGGTGGAGCAGTTGAGGACAGGGCTGAATCCAGCTTCTTCATGGTGCCACTTCCTTCAGTAGAAGTATTAGAGGAGAGAGAAGTGGATGAGGAGGAGATGGATACTGATGAGATCAGAGAGGACTTCCTTTCTGGTACCCTGGGCTTGGCCTTCCCCTTCCCATTTGCTGGTGACATGGATTTTAAAAACACAGGCACAGGGGTGAGTGCTGTGGGTGTATTTGACTGGCTGGAATACCCACTGGATGGAGAGGTGACTCTCTGTGACTTCTCCGGGGAGGTGATCTTTGGTTTAACTGAGCCACCAGGCACTTGGGGTATTGGGGCTCCTGAGCCCTCATGGATGTGGCGGACTGGCCCATTTCCAGTTGGTGCCCCATTGCTGGATGAACAGCCCCCTGTGGCATTCCCTGGGTCTTCCTGCATGCTGGTGTAGTCAATATAGTAGCCCCAAGGGTCTGTGTATTCTGACTTGACGCTACTCGTGTCGCTCTGCGATGGTGTGACCCCACACAGGGAATACATGTTGGGGGTAGTGGCAGAGGCCATGCTACTGCTGGCACTGATGGTACTCTGGCTCCGGGAACGAGGCCAGGGCTCCTCAAAGTCACTGCAGGGGCTCTGGGAGGGTGAGCTGCTGCCCTTGCCAGGGAGGCTCAGCTGCAGGGAGTGCTGGAGGGAGGCGATCAGGCTCTCATTGAGCACCTGTCCATTGGACTGGTTGTTCTTCTTGGGAATCCTTCGCAGAGAGTCTGTCCGGGAGGGTGGCAGGGGTGGTTTCTTTGCTTTCTTCAAAGAGATGTTTCTGGAAAGCGATTTATCTTGGTGATCTGGCCGGTCCTCCTGGCTTTTCTGAGTTCTCCCATCAAAAACATTGACCACGCTGTGCCTGGGGTTCCCAAAGCCATCGCTGCTGTTGTATAAGTTCTCAGCCCTGTGTCCAGAATCACTGTGCATGGATGTGTAGTAGCTGTCATGGTCCTCTGAATACAGAGATCTGGCATCCTCTTTGATAGACGTTTGGTCCAAACTGCAGCTGCTCATGTTACTTGTGGGAGTGGAACAACCAGGAGTTATCAGGTGTGGCTTCTGTGGGGATACCTGCCCATTGCCCAAGGCTTTGTATTCCCAGGGCTCTGAGCAGCCATGCCCCCTGTCCCCTGAATAACTAGACTCACTCTTGCCATCGACATCTGTGGAATGGGCAGGGAAACTCAGGTTGTTTCTACAATGATAGGGCATGGTATGGGATCCATTCTCCCTATTTGCTGGGGTATTTAGAGAGACCTCTGAATCACAGAGGGATAACAGTGTGCTGGCACTGGGGGCAGGGCAAGCTAAGGCCTGTGAGTGAATGGAATGACACTCGTTCCAGTGGTGACTGGGGGACTGATGGTCATCTTTCAGAGAACATCTGGGTGTGGGGCGATCTCTGGGTTTTATCTTTGAGTAAGAGGATGAACCAGGCATTCTACTGTCCAGCTGTCCTGCACTTTGAGCAGTGTGAATAACAATAACCTCTGAGGAGGACAAGAGTGTGGCATTTGGGATGATGCTGGTGGAGTAGGTTGCATGAGGAGAAACCACACATGCTGGACTTGCTATGTTTTCACTCTCCACAAGCCTCAGCTCCTGGGACTTGGGTCTCAAAAGGGTTCCGGTCCTCAAGGCAACTCCTAAATGTGCAAAGTTTTCATGTCCCTGCGAGTTGCTCCCCTGGTAGGGAAAAGTGCCATCTATGTCTTCAGCAGAGCCCAGGGCACCCAGCCTTGCCTCCAGGGAGTAAGTGCTCACTCTAGCCCCAGAACGGGGAAGACTGTGGAAACCAGCATCACTGTTGAGGCGAGATGGAAACACAATACCCGCCGGGTCACTCAGCACAGACATGTTGCCAGAGGAGCCTGAGAAGTGGCTCATCTGGGCTGCAATGCCTAGCCCCTTGTGAGCCCTGATCCTTCTCACTGATGGCGGAATGACTTTCACGTCCTCGGTCTGACAGCTGGAGTCCCTGGTTTCTGAGCGCTGCCCGGTAGACCGATAGCTATCGAGTCTTTCTAGTGTAGAGTAGTGATCTGGGAGATACATTGAGTGACTACTACCATCATCATGGCCAATGACTGATGCTGGGGATAAAACAGAAAGAGGCTTGTTATCAGAAAATGGAAGTCCACAGGTCACCATCACCTGTACCCTCAGCCCCTTCTGACCCTGTCATTTTAAATCTACCAAAACCCCACAACATTTTCTATTTGATTTGGTACCCAATTGAGCTTAACTATTTAGTTCCTGCTACCTCCTAAAACTTTTATCATCAATTTCATCTACTTTTCTTCTTAATTTGTTCTGCAAGTCATCCTATGGTGCAAGTACTGCATGGAATTCTTGGGTATTCCCTTTGAGATCATGGCTACTGAGCACTGTGGAAGACTTACTTTTCAAATAAGCAATATTTGAAGGGTGTGGTGGTACATGTCTATAAGCCCAGTGGTGGGGGGGGGGTAGAGGCAGACAGTCTAGAGTTCTAGGCAAGCCTGAATTATATAGTGAGATTTGTCCCCATAAAGAACAGGGGATGGGGAGCTAGTTCAATTGGTAAATTGCTTATCTTGCAAGCATGAGGATCTTACTTCAATCCCCAGAACCCATATAAAAAAAGCCAAGCATGGTGGCATGTGCTTATAATCCTGCCTCTGCTAGGGAGGCAGAGACAAGTGATTCCTGAGCTTACTGGGCAGTCAGTCTAGCCTACTTGGTAAGCTCCAGGCCAGTGAGAGACCCTGTCTCAAAAAACCAAGGTGAGCCTGGTGTGGTGGCATATGCCTTTAATCAATCCCAGCACTCAGGAGACGGAGGCAGAGGCAGAGGCAGAGGCAGATAGATCTCTGTAAGTTCAAGGCCAGCCTGGTCTACATAGTAAGTTCCAGGCCAGCTGGGACTACAAGTAGACCCTGTCTCAAAAAAAGACCAAAACAAAACAAACAAAAAACCAAGGTGAATGGATCTTCTGGCCCCTATACACCCATCTACATGCATAGGCACTCACCCACAAACATGCACATACCATATACACAATAAAGAACAAAACTCCAAATAATCACCTTGTAAAGACTTCAGTATAGCCTTTCCCCCACCAGGTGACTAGCAGAGTATCCATCAAGCAGTGATAGTGACAGTCTTTCCCCAAATCCAATAAACACAGCAGTGAAACAATAGGGCCATAGAAATACCATTTAAATGATACTGGTCTGAAACCAGTGTTAATTACATTGATTCTTCATGTCAGAAGGAAGTCCTAAGAAAAAGAAAATTGATTTACAGGCCCATCTGTGTTCCAAGCATTTCATTATCCATCTTAAACCATTATCATCTGTCTGTGGGTGACATTCAAAATTCAACAGCAATCTGCTGTGTTCTGGTGGGGGAAGAATGCAGGAACTGATCCAGTGAACATTTCCTCAAATTAGGGTTATTTATTTCATAAGAGTTTTATAACTAAACAGAGTAGTATGTTAAAAAGACAAAGAAACATGAGAAAGGGTAAAAAAGAGAGGGAAGCAGATAAAATTTGTAACTGTAAATAAACAGATGTCAAGCTACCCAGAAAAGGAGTCTTAGAAAAAAAAAAAAATCACAAAGCCAAAAACTTATCCAAAATACAATAAGAAAATAAAATAAAATTAATCCTTAGTACAAATTAAATCTTTAAAAATAATGGCAAAACCATGGTTTTATGTTTTTATTTTTCCATTTAGTTAAAAAAAAAAAAAAGCATAGGAACAGTAGCCAAATATAGTCATATACCACAAAATAATCCTATCATTAAAAATAATGGCAAAACCATGGTTTTATGTTTTTATTTTTCCATTTAGTAAAAAAAAAAAAATGCATAGGAACAGTAGCCAAGTATAGTCATATACCACAAAATAATCCTATTAGATTCTAAAAGATAAAAACTCATGCCAGGGGGCTGGAGAGATGGCTCAGCAGTTAAGAGCACTTGACGTTCTTGCAGAAGACCCAGGTTCGAATCCCAGCACCTACATGTTAGCTAACAATCATCCATAACTCTAGTTCCAGGGGATCCAATGCCCTCTTCTGTCCTCCTTGGGCACTGCATGGCATGAGTGCAATATATGCATACACATGAAATAAAAATAAAGCCAAAAAAAAGAAACAACAACAACAAAAAAAACCTGAACTTATGACATGATGTTGAGATTCATTTCTATATAGTCTTAAAATTAAGGGAAAAAAGTGAAATTCTGTCTACTCCACTTAAATGGAAAGCAACAAATTATAAGTCATCAGATATGCTTTGGAAGTGAACACTGAAGAAAGTATTTGAGGCCCACACTCTGCTGATCACTGCTGGCTGAGCATCACTGGCCACTGCATAAGGACCAGGTAATGATGGGATTCCTAAGAATTCCCTCTGCCCACAAAACATAACGACAGGTCCCTGTTTCATACTACATAATCAGAAATTCCTGGCCAAGTTACTCTCAATGTGTAGTCTACTCCCTATGATTTATATACATCACACTCTGCCATCCTCACAAAATAGACAATTTACAGACATTTGCCTAATTTACAAATGGGAAACAACACACAGGCACATTATTTATAAACTCAGATCACATCCAATTTCCTTACCAGGGAAGATCTGTATGTTGAACATATTAAAAATCTTCCCAGGATCAAGTTCTAGTTTAGTGGACTCCAGAGAATCACTAAGAGCCTAGCACAGCAATGAAGACTAGGCTAAGAACCAAAATGAGATGTTAGAATACACCAGAAACAAATATCGATTATTTTAGAAAAGAAAAAGGTAGGCAACATTTATCTTTTAAAAAGTAACAGCACTGTGCCAAATGTGGAGGTGCACGCTTTTAATCCCAGCACTGGGGAGGAAAATGTAGATGGCTCTCTGTAAGATGAGGTCAGCTTGGTCTACACAGCAAGTTCCAGGCCAGCTGGGGCTACAGGTAGACCCTGCCTCAAAAAGACCAAAAAAAAAAAAAAAAAAAAAGCTAGAGGAGGAGGCAGCCTGTGTCTGTTAACCCACAGCTAAAGAGACAGAGACATTGGTGGCTGGCCAGCTAGCCTAGTTGAATTGGTGAGTTCCGGGTCCAGCGAGATGTCCTGACTCAAAAAATAAAGTAGAAAGTGACTAAAGAGACCTGATGTCGACTTCTGGCCTCTACATGCACCACGGACAGGAGCACCCTCACCCACACATACCTGGGCACCCTCCCACACAAATGTACACACACCATACACATACACACACATATTAATTAATAAGTTCACTTTTGTGTGTGAGGTGGGATTGAACCCAGGGCCTCATATAGTCTACTACTGGACCATACCATCAACCAGCAAGTTAGTTTGTTTACAGGTCTAGTCTATGAATTTTTAAAAGTCTTGTCGTGTCTTTTATGATGTGTTTAAGTAAAAACTACCAAAAATTACTCATAAAAGGATTCCTCTGAACTTTCTTTTCTGCTTCAGATATATCTATGGGGGAATAGTTCATAATTATATACCATCATATAATATACTGTTGTTGATTTTGGTTTTTTGAAACATAGTTTCTCTATCGCTTCAGCTGGCCTGAACTCCCTATGTAGATCAGGCTGACCTCCATCTCACAGAGATCCACCTGCCTCTGCCTCCTGAATACTGAGATTAATGGTGTGTACCACCATGTCAGGCTCATCCTTATGTAATTTTAAGATAAGATTACAGAAGTTTGAAATTGTGTTGAGTCCATTTAAATGGAAGAAAACATACACAAATCATCAGCTATGCTTTGGAAATAAATATTAAACACCACATCTTGACTTTATTTACTTTTATTTTTAAACATTTTTATTACATTTCTTGTGTGTGTGTTGTGTATTCATGTGTATGCTATGGCACATGTGCGGGCATTATTGGGCAATTTGTGGGAGTCAACTCTTTCCTTTCACCCATGAGGGACCCAGGGATTGAACTCAGCTTGTCAGGTTTGGTGGCAAGCATCTTTACTCACTAGTCATCTCACTGGCCCAGCATCTTGATTTTAAAGAGCTATGGAGACTGAAATATGGAATTTGAACTAAAGACTGCATATAATTAAGCATGCTATATCTTTCTAATTCATGGAAACCCTGCTGTCTGGTTGCCCCAGTCCCCTGGTTGCCCCAGTCTCAGAGGACAGAGTATGTCCTACTGAATCCCTGTCCTTCAGTGAATCATTTCCTCTTTGTCTGTTTGGCTCAGCCATATTTCCCAATGTTTTCTAGAAGAAGACTGATTTTAAAGAAACTGTTTAGTGTCTGTTTCTGATTTTTAGGTAGCACAAACTTCTGAGTCAGAGTTCTTACAGGTATAAAATATTGGGAGAAATGGCAAAGTCAACTAGAAGTCTAGAACAGATGGGGAACATATATGAGCTGGTATTTTTGCTAAACAGAATCTTGTGCAAATGTTGCTTCTTCCTCATTCATCCACCAATCTTACAACTACTCAATGGATAAAACTAGAGTTGTTGTCTAATTGTTTTGTTTTGTTTTGTTTTTTTTAAATTTCCTCTCACTGTAGCCCGGGTTGGCTTCAAACTAGCTGTGTAGCTGAGGATGACCCTGAACTTCTGATTGCCCCACCTCATTGCCTGAATGCTGAGATTCCAGGTGTGTGCCATCACGTCCATTTTCTGCAGACCAGGGATCAAACTCAGGGCCTCATGCATACCATGCATGCACTCTACCAACTGAGCTACATCCCCAGCCCTAATTGTCCTTTCCTTTGTTGTTTTCTTCTATAGTACTGCAGATGGAAACTAGGGCAAATGTTCTACCACTGAGCTACAGTCCCAGTGCCCCACCCCAGTTTTTGTATTTTTCACTTTGAGACAGAGTCTAAGTTGTCCAAGATAGCCCTGAACTCATTCTGTAGACCCAGCAGGCCTTGAATTTGTTATTCTCCTTATTCTGTCTCCTATGTAGTAGCTGGGATTATAGGCCTGAGCCACCAGCTTGCCCGCTGCTCCCCTCACCACAATTAACTTAGACACAGTACCACTCTGTCACTCAGGCACACACTGACTGCAGTGACACCAGTTGCCTGATATGTGGCAACAGTCACAGAACAGAAGATGTAGGGAAAGCTATTTTCTTTCCTCCAGCATTAGTGATGATTCCATGCCACATGCGAAGGAGACATGAATCCTTTCACTGATTAAAAAAATATTAAAATTTTAGAACATATGATTGCCCTCGCTAGACAGGTCATTTCAGAAAGCCAAAGAAGAACTGAGCTATGGGCTCTTCCTGGTTGGTCCAATAATGAAAGTGATATAATATCCTAGCTCTCAGGTTCTAGGCTTCATACAACAGGTATCAGTGGACAAGTCATATTGACTACTTGTGTGGATATACATCTTTATCTGGGCCAAACTATCTTTACACTCTGTACAAAGTCACCTAGGACCTATTATTTTGGTTAGAAAGGATAAACCTTGGTGGCTTGCAAAGAGTCTAATAACCTGGTTTTTATGGTCATTCCCTTAAGGTACATTGAAAAGGCCAATTTATGTAGAAATGTTGCCTGAATACAGATTACTTTCTCAAATGTATGAGATGTCACTTCAAGGAGAAAAAACAAACAAAAAACCAGCTTGAAAAAATGAGATACAACTAAATTTTGAAGAAGCAATCATACTTGTCATTAATGCATAGACCTATAGAAGGTGTTGGCACAGATACCCTGTAGGCACAAACCAATGACAGACTTCAGAAATCCTACCAGTGCTTTTGCAACCTGTCTGTTTTGTTGTGGTTTTGTGTTTGTTTTCTCTTGTTGCTGTCAGATTTCTGTTTGCTTGTTTGGTTGTTTTTTCTGTTTGTTTGTTTGGTTTTTTTGAGACAGGATCTCACTATGTATCCTGGCTGGCCTAAAGGTCCCTATGTAGACCAGGTTGGTCGAGAGCTCACAGAGATCTGCCTGCCTCTGGGATTAAAGGAGTATGCCACCACACCTAGTTTCATTTTCTTTTTCTTTTTGAGATAGGGTCTCTGTAGCTCATGGCAAATTTCTTGCCTCAGCCCCCTAGTGCTGGGATTACAGGTGTGAGCTACCATGCCTGGCTTTACTTTCAGTTTTAAACTCCTGCTGTTGGTACAGGTCCCTGGAGTTACACTGAGTAGAGGTAAAAAGCATGGTTATTCTTGTCCAAATGTTTCTACAGTCTAGAAGGCAAGGCATAGACACTAGTTTTGGATGGCAGTTAAGGAAGAGTGTGCCTGCCCTCTTCCCTTCTACAAAGTAACAGGGACCCTGGGTGAAAATAAATATACACAATCTCTATAGCCTTGAAGGCTGAAACAAGATCTCCAGGCACTGTAATAAATACATCACTGTTGCTAGGATAAGCTCATTTTGACTAAAAGACTAGCAAGCAACTTTAGAGATAATGACTCTTGAGTTTCTAGAGTGCAACCTTCAACAACAAATAAAAGTAAATTAAAACATCAGGTTAAAGCAACTATTAGGAAGGAAGTCCATATGTAGACAAAAAAGAAGGAAGCAAATTTCAAGACAGGTAGCAGCATGTCCCAGAGTAATGACAACAGGGACATTACATTTACAGTTGTGCCAGGGACTCGTATCCTGTGTATAAATTCACCAGTCCTCAAACAACTATAAGGGTTTATTAAGGCCACTTGCTATTATGGTCAACATCTCATTTGTGGAATTCGAAGAAGGGGACCCAGAGAGATGAAGAGACCCAGAGAAAGAGTGGCAGAGTCAGGATTCAAACCCCAGCAGTCAGCTGGAGCTTCACTAGGTTGTCTCTGGACTCTCCTGCTGGGCCCCACTGAAACACAAGGGGAGTGATTACAGGAAGAGCACAAAAGCACTATCCAAAGCAAACGGAAAAACAAGCATGAACACAATGGGCAAGCGAACAGTAAGCTAAACAATTCCACCAGCCTCATTTGTTTCAAACTGAACAAAAGAAGCTGTGAAATTGTTTGATTGAAATGAAGAGATTATCCAACACAAATGACTACTTTTTACATCTTTTGGTTACACTGATTTAATGTGTGTATGTGCACATGTGTGCATGCATGTACGAGCATGTGTACCATGGATACACATGTGGAGGTCACAGCACAACTTGTGGGAGCTGGATGTCTTCTTGCACCATGTGGGTCCTGGGGATCAAACTCGGGCTGTTAGGCTTAGCAGCAAGCGCCTTTATCCACTGCCCATTTGGCAGCCCTATGACCACTTTCTATTGTGTTGGCATTTACTATTAAATAATCTCAAACTGCTATCTCTTAGGACAAAATGTCATCAGCACTGTCACGGTAGCTAGCAAGTCCTTTTCATAAAGTGAAGTCCTAGAATACAGGTACAATCGGTAAAAACTTAAGATCTAAATGAAAATCAAATTTAATCATGGAAACAACCAATACTCAAGGAACCTGAAGATGATGACAGAATCTCAATTTCCATCATCCCCAGGTAAATTTCCCCAGGACCTCTTCCCTACCCTTCTTCCTACAAGTGGCAACTCACCTGCATCGGGTGTTAAGATTTTCACCTAAGACCTCATCAATTAGCTGGCTATCAGAATGTGCGGACTTGACAGCACCACACAAGGTTAGCACATTGCTGTGAGCAGTAAAGGAGGCAACAGAATGCAATTCTGAAGAGCCATACCTAGCTCCTTCTGAATGCTGTCAGGGACTCCTGTAATAGTCTTTCTCCTTTTGACTTTCTTCGGTCGTCTTACCAGAGTGTCTGTGTAAATTAGAGACCGCCGAAGGCTGGCCTGGCGATCGAAATTCTCCCCTAATGTGGAGCGGTAGAACAAGCAAAGCAATGTTATCATCAAGCAAGCTGACACCATGCACTTTCTTCCAGAAGCTTGTTGTCAAATGATAAGAAGGTATTAATAATGATGTTAGCCAGTCACATGATGATGAACGCTGAAGGGCGAAAAGGGAAGGCAAGCACATTATCATCAGAAGGCTGTTTTCCGGTGTGTGCTGTGTGTCCTTCCCAAAGGACGCACGTCAATCTCATTTCCAAATGAGCGGCCAATTTGTTAATAACACACCGCAAGAGTGATTCCATCACTTGAAAAATGAGTCATTTTGCAAGTTAGTGTTTCATAAAGTCCTCTGAGCACAAAAATCACTCTTTACATCAGTGTGTATGTGGTGATGGCCATAAATACATTTTATTTATCTGGCCATCCCACAGAGACCGCGTCAGTCAAGGGGGCTGACAATGTGGATAGAGTGTGGAAATTGTTGCGGTATGAGATGCAGCTGTGATGAAAACCAAAAAGCCTTATAATGATAATGTACTTTTACCACAATGAGACCCAGCAACACTGCTGTTGTCAAAGCTGGACATGTTCCTCTCTGGTTCATAGTCTTTTTTTTTTTTTTTTCTTTTAAGTGCTAGGGACTGAACCCAGGGTCTTAATCATGCTAGGCAAAGCACTCTTCACTGATCTGCATCTCTACTCCCTGCTGTCACCTTTTAGAGTTAATCCCAATTTGGACATTTCAAGTGGTACTGCAATGGAACTCACAGTGCCCCATCCTCGGGACAGTTTTTTTCCAGAGTATAAGTTTGTGTGATTAATATACCATGGGAAACTATAAAACACTCAAGTGTGTGACAGCATCAGTTACTGATTGGACTGTTTGACATTATTTGCCATTTTGATTAAAGGAAGTTTTAAAGTACTGGCTTCTTTACAGAATAGTAATTCTCTTCAAAAAGAGATTTCAAAATACATATATACCTGCAAATCACATACTTGCAGCAGTCCTATGTGTGAGAAAAGTATAAAAATGGTCACTCTTTCGTAGCAGGCATGTATTTACAGGGCTGTGGACAATGCAACTTCATAGGAATATACCATGACCTTGTCTAATCAAACAAGAGAATTTAAAGATATATGGCATCCACTGAGGAACAGACTAACAAATGCCTGCAAACTTGCAAATTCTTGCAACTTTGCTCTAAAGAGAGAAAACCAGAAATAATTCAGAGAAGGACCTGAAACACCAGAAGGCACCGTTCCGTGTTAAGTAGGCCACTTAGGTGCAACAGCACGAACAGCGCTTAAAAGGGGAAGTCATTCAGTGCTTTATTAGTTTCCTGCAGCAGAAGAAAAGAAATTCCTTGTATCCAGACACTGAGGATGGGCAAAATATTACTAGAAAGTTGCATTTAGTCTCCAGGTATTTTTGTCCCCTTAAGAGGAAGAAAAAAGCTGTCGCCAACCCCGCTCCATTCCGGTTCCAAGAAAGTTAAACAAACCATATGAGGATAAAGATTTAAACATATATACTGTCTCACAGTGTGACCTAAAAAAACTATGTCACTGGTGGGTTCTACCACATCCCATGAGATACAGGCTATGGCTTAAATACCCAGTCTCCTCAACAGCATTCCCAGAATGCCCAACAGCAAGTACTTAATGGATAAATATCTATTGAATGGCATCACCCCCTTCACTGATACATGGCATTAGTTACTCATGGTTACTATTTAAAAATAAACGTAGGCAGTTCAAACATCAGTACAAAACTGTAAGAACTGCTGAAGTGTGTTTAGGCAGTTCAAACATCAGTACAAAACTGTTTGTAAGAACTGTTGAAGTGTGTTTACTCTTTACACTCATCTTTTACGGGAAAGACTTGTTGCACCTGGCAGATGTTCTTTTTATTTTAAACATTTTTCCCTCCTAACTTTTAGAACATACCAAGTTCTTCACAAGACTAAAACTAAAGGCCAGCAGCTTGTGTTAACACTCCAGGCCTGCTGGGCTCCACTCTGGATTTGAAGCCTTATATTTATTGACATTCATTTTTCCCACTAAGCCTTACTGGAAAAGGAAGCACGTGACCACTTCCTACAAGAAGCAGCATTTTAATCTCAAAAATCTGGAATTTTAGAAATATACAATTTACCATACCGGAGACTGAGGAACCAGCATCTCAACCACCCAAAGTGAAGGCTTTACATTTGTTGCTTCTTTGAACCAGATTAGAGAAACAAATCCTTTAAGAAATACATGTGTCTAGTAGACACAAGGAAAACAGTTCAATATGTATATAATTGTTATTTATTTTTGACATTTCTACAAAATGTTAATGATGCAATTAAAAATAGGCTGCATTTTCCATAACTTAGGTTGCTCATCTCATTATGCTTCAGCTTCTGTGGGTGGCATATAAACACTATCTAATTCATATCTACTTAGTTGCCAAACAGAAAAAATTGTAAGCTTAGAGAAACAACACTGTTTCCCTTTGTAAGAATGTATTTCATTGTGGATACGCCTCATCTCAAGGCAAGGTCTTCTGCCCTAATTCCATTAAGGATTCCCATATTTCACAGCATAATATTCATATCTTATCATACTATTTTGAGGATTTTAATCATATATAATTACATTTCTTCTGCATTTAATCTATCAAACAATATAACTCATTTTCTTGTAGAAAATATGAGAATGCCGATGCTTAATGACATGGGCAGTAAGCACCACACTGTTTCGCTCCTTAAAGATAGGGACTGAGTGAAATTCAGGGAGGCATGGTCATAGAGTTCAGCAGTGCTAGTTACAAAGACAGTGGATTAAAATGCCATGGTGCTTCTTTAAGGTGTAAGTTTTTCAAAATGTGAAAAATGGACATAGAATGGAAAATAACTCATGTACCTATTCAGTTTGCATGGAATTCAAATTTAGAGTTCTAAATGTAATTTCGAAGTATACTGTAAGACTTCGTTTTTTTTCAAATCAATCATATCTAAATGTTATTAGTCCTTACAAGTTTACTGAAGCCATGGCAACAAGCCTTCCAACAGCAGTGGCCTCCAAAGATTGGAGGCTGTGGGTTTTCATCTTAATTGTTAATGAAAACTCCTTCCTCTTGGTCAGCCAGTTTTTTAAGGGCATATAGGCCAGGCTTTATATGGACTGGTTATCAATGATGACACAAGTCACCTATTTCTTCATAAGACACAATAAGATAGAGGTAAATGGTTGATGCTAACTTTTTTTTTTTTATGCATACTAAAATGTGAGGCACTGTGCATGCTTAGCAAACTCTAGCCGCTATTAACTCTTCATTTTGTTTCCTGTACTAACACTGTTCCTTTTTTTTTTTTTTTTTTTTTTTTTTTTTTTTTTTTTGACAGGGCCTCCCTAGTCCCAGCCCACCTGAAGTCACTATGTGGACCAGGTTGGCCTTGATCTCACAGAGATTCACCTGTCTCTGCCTCCCAAGGGCTGGGACTAAAGGTGTGTGCCACCATGCCTGGCTATTTTGTATTTTGTACCGTCCCTACACCACTGACTGATTCTCTTTGCAAACTACAAAAGTAGTAAACATGGCAAATTTGGATTATCTTTTGAACAGCTCTTCTAAAGTTGCAAAGTTCATCTTGGTGCTTTGTTGTTACCATAATTATCAAAAATGATTAAAGGCTGAGTAAAATATCCCCAAATTTCAAACCTGGCAGTTAGTATTTACATAGCCACTAATATACCAATTCTAAAAGCAGGGTCGGACTGAGGTTCAAGTTATAGAAACCAAAACATACTTTTATCACCTGATGATTTTTAAAAATATATGCTCTAATTATACATTTGCTTGACGTTTTTACTTCCTTTTTTTCCTACCTGAGCAAACAAGAAGGTAAGAAAAATATCAGAAACGTCACAAAATAATTATTTTTGTCACTTCTATAACTATTTCTTAAAGAAAGGAGCACATAACTTCTTTGTAACTAAGGACTACATTTACAGGATGTTCCTATATAACTAAAATCTTATTTAAAAACACTGCAATTCAAACACCCTTTGGGTGAATGGCTGAACCATCGAGTTCTTTGATAGCAACCTTTGGTGACAATCTTCATGTCTAACAAGCAACAAATTTTTCATGCACATACACATGTAGCTCTAGTTTTCCCTTCATTAAACAAAGAACAGGAATCTAGGCCACAGCTATTCACTTTGATGTATAAATAAAATGCTAAGAGCATATAGCAAACAAGAGTCACGGACACTCTCCCAAGGACATCTTGACTCTGTGCCCCGCAAAGCATACCAGTTATGTTAATAGGAACCACGTCAGCCTGGACTGCTTGGGCTTGCTGCCGCATCTTTTCTTCTGGTGTTGGCAGCGGCAGGGACTTGGTCCAGTTCGTCTGAGTATTAAGGTCTGAGAAGTCACCTGAGGTTGGAGTTTTAGGTCTCCTGAAGCCAATAAATCTTTCCTCTTCAGATGAGGACAGGGAACACTGTTGAGAAAAAAGAAATTACATTGTGTAACTGGCAAGAATGTTAGAAATGTTTTATTTTTACAAATTAGACTAATTTAAAGAAGTCAAAGAATGGGTCTCTTTAAAGAACAGAAGCAATGATTTGTAAGAACACCATGGATCCTCTTGAACATGACCTTTAAAATATGATTTACCTTGCCTTTGGTCTGGAAATTATAAGGACAGCAGAAGGTTTTGCTGACATACAGAACCTTTTATATTCTTCCAGGTTTTCATCTCTTTACTGAGGTTTGAAAGCTTATGGATTTAGTCTAACATTAGAAACGTTGAGAAACATCGTAGCTGAGGCCACCAGTTTCTTTTTGTATTAAAATTCAGTTTTGCGGAAAATAATTCCTGGCCTCAATCTTATTTCTTTTAGGCTCTGACCTCAAGGAATGTTTCAAAACCATAGGGCTATTGTTCAACTATTTGTGCCATTCTGAAACCATCTCTGTGGGGGGAAAATCAGTGTGAATTGCTAAGTTATAAGAAGCTGACTACAGCTGCACTAAGGCCTTATCAGAAATCCAGGAAAACATTTCTAGCTGTGTCTGCTTTGATACAGATTAGCATCCTCACTGAGGGGCCCTTCTTCAATGCACTTTCCCTTTAACACCTGAAAAAGTATAAACAAGAAAGTTGTGCAGGCAAGCATTTCATGCCAGACTTCATCAGAGCTCTGTGGCAGCTGGTTCGGTGATGATGAACCTCCAAGAACTCAAAATAAAGTCAACAAGCTTAGAAACAACAAAAAGGGTAAATGGCTTTCATGGCGGAAACAGTTTATGATATTCAATAAATGTAAAAGGATTGCTCTTCAAGTCTATCACAAATCATTAAGCTGAAGCACCACTATGAAAATAGGATGTTTAAGGGGTTGCAGAGATGGCTCCCTGGTTAAGAGCACTGGATGCTCTTGCAGAGGACTCTGGTTCAATTCCCAGCACCCACATGGCAGCTAACAACTGTCTGTAACTCTAGTTCCAGGGGATCCAATTCCTTTTTCTAACCTTCATGGATGTTGTACAACATGGGTGCACTTACATACATTCATACACATAAAATAAAAATAATAACATTTTTTAAAAAAGAAAATAGGGGCTGGAGAGATGGCTCAGCAGTTAAGAACACTGGTTTTTCTTGCAGAAGACCCGGGTTTGAATCCCAGCACCCACATGGCAGCTAACAACTGTCTGTAACTCTAGTTCCAGGGGATCCAATTCCTTTTTCTAACCTTCATGGATGTTGTACAACATGGGTGCACTTACATACATTCATACACATAAAATAAAAAAATAATAATTTTTTTAAAGTTTAAAAAAAATAAAAAAGAAAAGAAAAGAAGAAAATAAGGTGTTTAAGAAGAATTTCACTGACAAATACAGAAGGGCTATGACCTTTCCAAAAGGGGACACCTGTTCAAGCAGCTCCCAGGTCAGTTCAACGCCTCTTTGCTACACCCACAAGCAAGGGTAACTGCTCTCCAGACCGCCAAGGCCTCAGTTTTATTGGGCATCAACTGATAAAGGGAATCATACTGTCTGTTCTCTTTTGTAACTTGTTTGTATTTATAAAGATTTCTTTAGCTTTAAAAGGCACATTTGGATACCTGTTGGGATTTAACTCAAATTTCTAAGAAAATACACAGAAAAATAGAAATACATCAGCAATCTGAAACACAAGAACACAGGCATCACTGTTCAATGCTACTGAACTTATCATGCTGCAAAATACTCATCTGTTCTACTACTGGAGCCACACTGATCTGAAACACCACAAGGATGCAGCCTCAGGAGAATGCAAAGATCCCCCCCACTGAGCATCTAACCAGCCCCCTCCTAAAGCTTCCTTTGCTGGGAAGGGGCTGCACTGTGTACCTTCCACACCTATTCTTAGGCCATAATAAACATTCCTGTGTTGTGACTGTTAATTACAATGACAGTGAACATGTGGGGCATATAAATATAACTTTAGAAAAGCAAAAGCCATGAATTGACTCATTTTTTTCTTTTATTGCAAGGAGATGAACAACAACAGAACTATTGTGGAGATAAAAATATAAATTATGAGCCGGGTGTGGTGGCACACACCTTTAATCCCATCACTTAGGAGGCAGAGGCAAGGTGGATCTCTGTGAGTTCAAGGCCAGCCTGGTCTACATAGTGAGTTCCAGGACAGCTGGGGCTACAGGGAGACCCTGTCACAAAAAAACCAAAAAAAAAAAAAAAGATATATATCATTAGATATCTCAATATACATATTTATCACTCAACATAAAAAGATCATCTAGTGAAATAATATTTGTAATTCAACACTCAATGTATAAACTGAGCTTATGTTACAGATGCCTTATTACGGCATCAACTTGAACCCTGTTCATTTATATTTGATCTGATTCTTATGATTACATCTTACACAGATCCTTACAAGATTATCAAATGGGGTGCTGGTAGGTAAAGGTGCTTGTCAATCCCTGGAACCCACATAGTGGAAGGAGAGAATGACCCCTGTAAGTTGTCCTCTGACTTTCACATGCACTCTGTGACATGCACTTGCCCAATACATACACAAAACAAAATAAAAATTTAAGATTATCAGATGGATTTTTGAGGCAGCAGGGATGTAAATCAATGACTTCCAGCCCTTTCGTTGTTATAACACTCTTAAGTTTGACTTACAACACATGTTTCTCTATCTGTAAGGTATAGACACACACAATGCATATTAAAATTAATTTTGAGAATTTCATGGCAGTTTGTACAAAATTCACATGTCTAAATTTGAATTTCAATCTAGTACATAAGAGTATGCCAACAGAAATAAGTTTCAGGAAACCTTGGAATACAGTATAATTTTGGAAGGCAGTAAGAAACAAATCTTGGCCAAAAAGCTGTCAAAGAGGGAAAAGTAAAGCTCTGGCTGAACGGAGAACAGCAGCACCCCTTTACCATGTGACGTCCAGCAAGGGGGCGGTGGCAAGCATCAAGGAGGCTCTGCAGACCCACTAACCTACTTTTCTTTCAGCTGGCTGATGATGTCAGAGTCAGAGCTCCCACAGAGAGACAGAACTTCCCAGCGGTCTTAGTTGCCATGGGAGGGGATCCCCGGGGCTGGCTAGGGTGTGACAAGTCACAAAGCGAGTCCATTTTATGAAGCACTCTCTTCTCTTGCAAGAAAATTTCCCAGGCAATCAGGACCAAAGTTATATGCAAATGTGGTTGTTAGACAGTAGCACAATCTAGTAAAAAAAAAAAGCCAGGATGGATGACTTTCAGAATGATCCAACTCCCAGTACCAATCTGTTTATAAACACAACAGGGGTCAGGGAAACCCTGCTGAGTCTCAATGCCAGGATTTCAGGATTTCATAATGACTCCACTAAGAAAGATGTGAGCTTTAGTTTGGATTGTGAGTGTCCCCTTGTGATAGAGCTTGCCCCCAGCTTCATACATCAAACGGTGGTGGCACCTCTAGGAGGTGGAACAGGGGTTGCACTCAAAGGGGAGAGAGGAACTCTGGCCCCTTCCTCTTTCTTGCATTTTTGTTAAGCGAATAGTTTTGTTCAGTTCTTCGTTTCTATTATATCTCCTGCTTCATCACAGGTCCAAAAGCAAGGTGGCCAACCAATCACACTTCCAAACTGTGAGCCATTAATAATTCTTTTCTCTTTACAAGGTTATTCAGATATTTGTTATAGCGACTAGAAGAGGAGCACAGTCTGGGTGACAGCACCACCCTTAGAAAAGGTCTCCCTGCTCCCATGTTGATCATTCTCCTGGCTCCTCCCCTTTCCAGCAGTCTGTTCTCAACATAGCATAGTAAGATCTTTTCCCATTGGAAGTCACCTCATGATGCTCCTCCCCTCAAACCTTCCAGAATCCTTACTATGACCTACTGACTGATCATCCATTTCTATTCTTTCTCCTGTACCAACCACACCACCTTAGAAGTTATCCCCTATACATTCCATTTGTGCTCCTGCCTCTGGGCCTTTGCACTTACTGTTCCCACACACCTGAACAACTCTTTCTTGAGACTTCCATTCAGAGAACATCTTCCTTTTCTTCGGATGTTTTTATCAGGAGTTCCTCCCTGCCTTATTTTGAGATCTTAATCTGTTTACCTTATTCAGTTTCACCAACACTTTTTTTTGTTTTGTTTTGTTTTTTGGTCTTTTTCAGAGAGGGTCTCCCTGTAGCCCCAGCTAGCTTGGAACTTACTATGCAGACCAAGCTGGCCTTGATTTCAGCCTGCACCAGAATGAGCTCAGGTAAGCTGGAAAATGTTGCCTTGCTTGGTAAGGGACATGGAGACTCAGGAAGAAAGTAACTTTACTTTTGCAAAGTTCACAGTGCAAAGCTAGATTAGAAATACAATGTGACCCCAAACTCTCTGCTGTAAAACAGTAGAAAGCAACTAATTGGCAATGTTTATAGTAAATTATTAGTTTCCTGGTCTAAAAGCAAAATGTGTTACATCTATAATAAGAACAAAGATGTTTAAAACTGTAAAAAGCAGCAGTGCGGTACAGCACATAGGCTGAAAACCCATGGCGTAATTGTCCTGTCTATCGCTGACTAGCTGTGTGTTTTGAGCAACTCAAGATCCTGATGTAGCAGACAGAATGGCTTTCATGTGGTGGCATGCTTCATGGTAGTGGAAACCCTAAATGGGGCAACTCATTTCTTCTTGAAAATATACTGTGCTTAGGGTTGGGGGTGCAGCTCATTTGTCACTAGCCTAGCATGCATGAAGCACTGAGTTTAACTTCCCACACCACATAAACCAGGGGTGGTGTAGACCTGTAACCTGGGTGTGAAAGCAGGAGAATCAGTAATTCAAGGTCATTCTTGGCTATACAGTGAGTTTGAGGCCAGTGTTAGACCTTATCTCAAAAATAAGCAAACAAACAGTTTAACACTACTTTGCTTTCAGAGCTTAAATGAGGTTTGTAGGTCTGTAGGTCAATATTAATT